GCTGCGGCATTCTACTTGAGTAGATGCTGGCCGACTGGCTGCTGGTGTGATGAGGCGAAGTGCTGGAGGTCTGCAGAAGCACTTGGAGGAAAGAGGAGGCAGCCATAGCTAAAGGCTGGGAGCTTCTTGCCCCACCTTCTGTGCTGTGCTGCAGGCTGTGGGGAAGTCGTGGCCTTGAGGTTGCTGCTGGTTTTCTGGGGAGGTGTGGCGGAATCGCTGCCGAATTTTTGCGGCAGCAACACCTTTTTTCTTGCCGGAACAGCAAAAGCGCTGCCGAAATTGTGCGGCGGCAGCGCTGGTATTCTTGGCGGAACAGCAGAAGCGCTGCCGAAATTGTGCCGCGGCAAAGCTTGTATTCTTGGCGGAACAGCTGAAGAGCTGCCGAAATTGTGCGGCGGCAGCGCTGGTATTCTTGGCGGTACAGCGGAAGCGCTGCCGAATCCTTGCAGCGGCAGCACCGATTTTCTTGGCGGTATGGCGAGGGTGCTGCTGGATTATGTGGAGATAGTATTTTGCACAGAATTACGAGAAGGGGGATTGGACGTTGCCGCAGGGACGGTACCGCCAAGGTGGAAGTGCACCTTGGAACAAAAAGGGTGTGACGATCGTCTTGTTGATGGCATTGCGGCACGCGGCACTTGTAAGAATTGTAGAGGCCGTTGTTATTTTTTTGTGGCATACCGAGTAAGCGGGGATTGGGTCCGGGACCACCAAGTATTGCGGCAGGCAGGTGGTGGCCTGACTTGGTATTTGGTGGGTTGAATCGGCACTGTTTTGGTGGAAGGTGTGACGTTGAGGCTGTGGGATTTGAGAGTGGGGCACTCTCCTCAACGGCGAGCTCGCTTCTGTGTTGGTGAGCGGCGCCTGAGTCAGCGGCCGCGTTTGAAGGAGGGTGTGACTCGTCCTTGTGAGCCGCCACAACGAGAGTGGTGCGACCGAATTTTTGTGAAGATATTTGGCCTTTGTGAGCGAGCCTTCATAARAATCACTCAAGGTCAGYGCGACTTAGTTCYTTTGCACACCCSCGTGAACCCACACATTGCACAACATTGCTTTGAATTCAAGGGAAAAGGTAGAGTAAGAGTGTGATRWCATGCRTGTGAAGAAAGGGCTGACCTGTTTGGGGATGGATGAATCTTTGGATTGTTTCTTTTCTTGATTGTGCAGGAAGGTTGGGAGACGCATGTGAGAAGGAATCTGCGTAGTTGACTCGAGATAATGATGGGGATGCTTACCTCTCGCCCACTCAACCTGAATGCATGCGACAGAAAAGAGGAGAAACAAAAATAATAATGGAAGTGCGAACGGATGGATGCCGAAAGAATGAAGGTCGTGGGAAAATTAAAAGAAAAGAAGACAAGGGAACACCTTAGTATCTTCCCAAGGATTTCCCCATTCTATCCCGAACGACCACTATCCTTCTATGCCCGTCCAAAATATCTTACTTCTTTCTCTTCTCAATTCGTCTAAGTCGACCATTAGCCGGGAAGGCATAGAGCGGTCGTCTGCACCTAGGGTCTAGGCTTCTTCTCTCTAGGAGGCATCTGAGGCGGGGGTTCGTTGCCTTAGGGGCCGTCCCTGTTATCGATTCGGAGCGGACCGCTTTCGCGGGGGGATACCATGTTGTTGCGGTGGAGCCAGCCCAACTTCTGAGTCCTGAATAATGTGTTGGGGCGAGGGGGGGGGGTATTCCAAACCACTTCCTAGAGGGTAGGGTGTCTTGAAGCTAGGGGCAGTCGCCTCCTCGGGCTTTCAGGGAAAGGGGAAGCTGAATCTAGTACCAGGTCGGGGGGGCGCTTTAGGAGCCACCAACGTGTGGGAGGGCTGGCGCCACAAGAAGCCGAGCCCGTGATTCAACTAGTGTTAACGGGAGTGCAAATAGGCACTACTCTCGCGATCGGAGCGTGACACAAGAATCACCGCCCGAAAAGGGGAGTAAAGATTGAACATGAAAGTGGGTATGTCTGAATTATTTTGACAAGAGTTGCCCCTTCGTTGTTCAAATGTTTGCGGAGACAATGATTTTCTGATTGTTCAACACGCGCGAGGCGGCGGCTAATTGGTCAGCGGTGCCGACACGATCCCGCGCCGGCATGATACGGAAAGGAAGGTTGGTGTACAACCCACTTGAGGTTTACTCGGAACGGGATGCGCCGCGATGCTGGGACGGAAGCGTGAGGAAATCACCGCGGAGCTATGTTTTTTTGGTTAAGTCAGGCCAGCGTATTGTGCAATATGATTTTGCGCTTCCTAATCCATTACGAGATTGTGGAGACATGAAATTAGTTGTGGTTCACGACGACTCTCCGGGAGTAGAGAACATTCCTGAGGTTAGAGGGATGTTCCTCCATATTGTACTCCATTTGAACGATATGCAAGGTCTGTTCGGCCTCCTTCATCATGTGAGACGGGTCCAAGCGAATAGATTTAATATCATTCGCTCGGAACGTTTCGACGTCACCGCGTTTTATGACGAGGCTTGTGAAATTTATGAGTGTCTCTTCTAACAGGTGGCTTCTTCAGTGTGCAGATGCTTAGCGGACGGCGAGACCTCACTCAGGCCAGATATCTACTGATTCGCGACACTACGGACGAGGAGCTGATCCGGTGAGTGTAGCGATTAATACTAGTTCAGGATGGAGCGTCCACGCGCTGGATTGGTTTTATCGGCCTGCTCAGCGATGGGGAGGGATTCTTTCCTAGCTCGCGCGCGGATGTTCGCGCAAATGTGGCCCGACTTCTGGAGGAAGTTCATGGATGTACCTTGTACTTCCATCGCACGAGCAACCTCCAATGCCTCTCTCGGGTCATTGTGAGCGTTAAAATTACCCTATCCGGGAAGCGCTATAGCGTCGTCTGGATAAAAGACACCACGACCATACACCTGTTTCGGATGCGTCAACCGTTTCGCGCCATAGTCTGGAAGCTCGTCTCACGGATGGCTTCTCTCTATGATACGCAGAAGGTCCGAGTCGTGCGAGGTGGACGTGTCTCCACGTTGATTTTTGACGACGAGGAGCTTATACGACGCGACCGGATAGAAGCCGAGGCCCGTGAGGGCCGAGGCCCGTGAGGGCCGACAGGTTTACCCTGGCTGAACGCACCCTCTCGAGTCAGGTGCAGTGGTAAGTTGTTCTTTTGTAGGGCGACATCTACGTGACTCTATAAGGGTGATAATAACAAAAAACAACAACAATCTTGCGTAGGTAAGCCAACCAGATGGATAGTATTTGGATTACCCCGATGATGGCACTATCATGCTTATGCATTGAGGGGTAATCGATCGCTGAAAAATGAGTCGAGCAAAATGAAAACCGAACACCTGAGAAGGTGTTGAGCAAAAGGGCGAGGGCGAAGTATCAGGAAATGAAACATCTCCATGCCAAGTATCTGGTGTTGGGGATGAGTACTTCATCATTCGTGGAACAGAGAGAGTAATTATTGCCTAGGAGGACAAATCGACCGACAGAATTGTCAGTCGCTCCTCCGAGTAGATGTATGCGGTACGACAATATGGTCGAACCGGGAGTTCAAACATCGACCAGGAGCCAGATCACTTGTTGATCTGCATGGTACCGACGATATTTACTTGTAAAAGTTGTGCGCGACGGATCTTCCGTCTTCGGACGGCAGTACAATTGTCTTTTCGGTCATGTACGCAGAAAATGATAACCTTGGCAGACCATCTCATCAAGTCGAAATGTTGTTTATGCATTGGTTTTATTCATTTTATGAGTAGGGGATTATAAAGAGACTAGGATTATATGGTGGGTTTCACGTTTGGTCGAGGCCATCCTAGTCGACTGACACTCGTTCGTACCGAGGAGATCAGCGCCCTCGGGAACGGACAACGTTCGGGTCCACTTGGCGTTAACCAAGCGTACCTATACTCCAGCGAGCGAGCAAACACCCTCGGCTGACCTACCTCTGCAATTGCATGTAAAAGCTTTCGCACGTGGGTTAGTAGCTCGGTAGGGATACGCCCCTGAGGGTGGTGACAGCCCCTTAGGGAAGGTAGGTTGTGCCCCGCGAAAACCTATCCTGTCGTAGGGGTTCGCGGGATGTATAGCTGGCGCACCCAGCTAGAGCGGCGAAGGGAGAATGCAACCGCGTCCGTTTCGACGGTTCACGAGATTATTTCTGCATCGTTCTAAGTTGTCTCTTGATTTTGTTTTGTTCTTACTCTTGCGTGACATAGCCGGGAGGGCCCTCGCTCACGCGGGGGCCGATGCGCTCGACAGGTGGCGCCGTTGCCGGGGATGACGGCAAATTACCGTTGTCCCTGGTGGAACGACACTTGGGAAAAAGGATGGTTATAACGATTTTAAGTGTTGTGTGTTGTTTGTTTGGATTGAAAGTCGTCAGTTGTTATAAATGTTTGGAGAAAGAAAAGAAGGCAAGGTTTTGAGTGAATTGTTGGAACTTATTTGACACTTGGTCGTGTGGATTTTGTCGTGTTGATTCTCTGAAGATGACGGGAGAGAGTGTTGATCCCGCGAATAGTAATGCAGGGGATCGTCGCAACGACATCTTTGAACTCGCACGAGCCATTCGAGAAGCCGATAATCAAAAGGCACAGTTGCGAAAAGTTCAAGTTCCCCTCTTCGATGGCACCAATGCCTCAGCATGGGCGGACAAGTTTGAACAATTGGGCAGTTGTTGTGAATGGACGAGTGAAAAGATGCTTCAAATGGTGAAGCGATATTGTATGGTCGAGTACAAATAAGAAGTGTCGGCGTTGGTGCAAGCTTCGTGCGACTGGTCAGACTTCAAGGCCAAACTATTGGACAAGTACCAACTGGGGGATCAACTGCTCGACCTGGCGTACTTACGGAAAGTCAATTGTCGGAAATTTGGTACGGCCAAGCAGTTTCTCACGGAGTTCGAACAAGTTGCGCGCTTAGTGCCTGACCTTCCAGATAAGAATTGGTGCCTTATCTTCCTCGATAAATTTTCGGAAGTTGAGCAGTGGGAATTGATGAAGGATATGACTGGTCGATACGACTAGCCAAAGATCAAGGAGAATTTGTTGGCGGGAAGCTTCGACGAGATGCTTTACCGTCTCCTGAAGCAGCAAAAAGAGGACCACGAGAAGGAAGAGGTAAGCGCGGACAAGGACCAAGCCGTTTACAAGACCCTGACTGACATGCGGAACATGATGGCCGACATGAAGGAGGAAAGGCTAAAATTGCAGGTAAGGATGGTCCAGACAAAAGGGGGGAAAAGGAAGGGGAAAACACCCGTTGTGGAGGAAGTGAGTAGTACCAGCAGTGAAGAGGAAGACGAGGAGGAAGTGGAGCCCCTCGAAAATTGACCAAGGCAGAACGGAAGGCCCTGAGTCAGATACGAGGAGGGCAAGGCACTAGTAAAAAGCAGCGGAAGAATAATGGAGGAGGTGGACAAGGAAGCAACCAGGAACAGGCGGCGCAGGCCCCTCCTCAGCAACCCCAACCTCAGGCAAGAGGCTGAGGCCGGGGTCGAGGTAGAGGACAAGGCACTGGGGTAGGCTGAGGAAATGGGGGCGGCCAAGGCAATTGGCAGAATTGGTTTTGTAAGTATTGTGGCCAAGATGGGCATGAGATACGGTTTTGTCAGACCGTTACCAAAGATGAAAACGATAAGGTTATATATACGAATATCCGAGGCGAGGTCTACGACTTCGAAGGGAACCTCATCGATCAATGTGGAGGGAGGAATGAGAAAGGAAGTCTTCTGACGTATGGGGCGAGATCTCCCAGCAACTTTTCGACTGGCTTCCTCGGAAGAAGTCGAACAGATTGAGTTGGAAGCGGCGATGGAGTCATTGACAATTGAAGATGCCAAGGTCGGAGATGAAGGTTTGAGCAAAAAACAGGAAGAGGTATTGCAGCGAGCTCGGTCAGTGATCAAGAAGATGAACCGATGTCGGGAAGCTTGTGTTCAAGTATGTGCCGACATGAATGAAGAATGGCCCGGGCTTCCCCAAGTTTTTCTGTTTGGAGGATGGGACAGAGATGGCCAAGGAGGTCTTACTGATGTTACCACATCACAGCCTGGATCGTCGTTGGCAGGGCGTTTGATGGCCACCACGATCTTGTCTCGTCCTGCTTTTAAGCGACTTGCCACTGCTGGCCTCCCACAGGCTCGGAGGGCTCGGAAGCCGCCACGGCCAAGGGCAATTCCAGAGGAAGGGCCAAGTCAGCCTCGGGAAACCGAGACAATTCCGATTGAAGAAGACGATGGCGAGGAGGACGAATTGTTGCGGGCCGAGGATGAGCGGCAGGCCAAACAACGGGCCATGGAGAGGGAGCCAGAAACGGGCAAAACCGACGTTGGGGAAGGAGAGCTGAAAAAGAAGAAGCAAGTCTACACAATTCCAGTAGAGCAAGGGCTGGATATTGAGCAAATCGTGGATCGGATTTTGGAAAGCCAGCGCGATTTGTTCACGCTCAAGGAATTCTTGGCCGCGTCACCAAAACTCCAAGAGGAGTTCATACATCGATTGTCAAGAAAAAAGGTGATGACGGTTAAGATGAGTGATATCTTTCCTCAAGAGATTAGTTGGGCTCCGCCTGGGACAAAAATGGACTGGCACTGTGTTGCAACTGGGTTGTTGAAGGTGCAAGTTGGGCCATGCGAATATTCAGCTCTCATCGACGATGGAGCTGAAATGAATATTATACGTGAAAGAGAGGCCATGGGGGCAGGAGTCAACATCAATGGAGCAGATACTGGATTTCTGGTGGGTGCAAGTGGGATAACTCCCTTTTGCGGAACGGCGAGTGACGTGACGATACAAGTTGGTAAAGTCAAAGTTCGTTCGTACTTCTTTGTGCTACCCAGGATTGAGCATGCCGTGTTGCTGGGCAGAGCTTTCCTATGTCCGTCAGAATCCATCATCTTCAATAAGCATGATGGTACTATAATCGCGGTTTTGTGCGACCCAGTATGTGACTATTACGAGGTGATGAAGTGTGAGAACACAGGACCGACCAATTCAAGGAACCGACTCAGGAGGGAGAAGGAATCCCTCGGAGAAGAGAGCGATCCCCATGAATTTTTCCTTGCTTTGCCCAACATCTCTCAAGCGATCGAGTTCGTTGCGACAGACTCGTCTCTGGACCCCAAGTTGGTCCAAACGCTGACAGAGATTGTGGCAGGAGAAGGCGGGACTGGTAGAATGTATCTTACTTATCGGCCCGACAGGTCTTCGGAAGGTGATGTATTGACGGAGCCAGCAGCCAAGCAAGGGCTTTTTTTAGAGGTGGACGACTTGGAGTTGGAGGGAAACGCAAGTACAAGAGAGTAGGCGAGAAAGCTCGGCCAGTGCCCTTCTTGATCACGCAAGAAGAAGAAGTGTATTATAAAGAAGAGAGAGAATGGATCAGGATGAGGAAAGAAAGGAGTGTGAAGGCGCCGTGTCGATTGACGGAGGAGAGGGTTAAAGATATGATCATTGGAGAGGAAGGGTTTCTTACTAAGAGGGAGGTGGACTTCCTTGTCAGCGTCATGAAGAAAACCCACTTGGTTTATACCTTTGATGATGATGAGCGAGGGAGGCTTGACGTTGACATGATTCCAATGATCAGAATTCATACGGTACCTCACAAGCCGTGGAACATACGAGCTCCGCGTTATCCGAATCCGGATGATCATCGTAGAGTCGTTGAATATTTGGACGACAAAATTCGGACAAAGGTCGCGGATTACTCATATGGACCATATGCGTCCCTTTGGTTTTGTTTCATCAAACCAAGTGGCGTATTGCGATGGGTGCAGAACTTACAGAAGTTGAACTCAGTGACGGTTCGTGATGTCGGAGGACTTCCGCATGCCGATCAGCTGTCTAAATCGTGTGCAGGCAGACCTATCATCACTCTCATCGACTTGTACTCAAGATATGATCAATTCCCTCTCTATACGGCAAACAGGCCGATGACGGCCATGCATACGCCGAGGGGATTAATTCATATATGTGCGGCGTCTCAAGGATGGACGAACGTCGTAGCGATTGTTTAGAGATATATGATGAGAGTCATGCAGCCGCTTTGTCCGGACGTGACCTCACCTTATATCGATGATCTGGCCATACCTGGGCCACGTGTCAAGGACGAGACGGAGGTGCTGCCAGGCGTTCGAAAGTTTGTTTGGGAGCACGTTCGTAACGTGGAGAAGGTCCTCTCCAAGTTAAAGGAGTACAACCTCACCGCCAGCGGTGTCAAATCTCGGCATTGTATGCGTGAGGCGACTATCTTGGGCTTCTTGTGCGATGAGAAGGGTCGTCGGCCAGATTCCAAGAAGACGAACAAGATTCTGGAATGGCCCACTCCGCTTAAGTCCATCACTGATGTGCGAAGTTTCTTGGGGACTTGCGGATTCTGGCATATCTTCATTCGCAAGTTCGTAGCAAGGGTAGAGCACCTACGGAAGTTGGTGCGTAAAAATCAAGAATGGGAATGGGGTCCAAAGCAACAGGCGGCTGTCGACGACATCAAGGCACAATTCCGAGAAGGAGGATTGATCCTGGGGGTTCCGTGCTTTGACAATGACCCAAATCGGCCCTTCGTGGTTGAAACAGATGCAGGCCCCACGACATTGGGTGGAGTCCTCATCCAAAAGGATGGAGAAGGGCGAGAAAGGTCATTGAGATTTGAAAGTCGGACGCTGAATGAGGCGGAACGAAGATATTCCCAATTTAAAGGAAACCCTTTCAGTGCTATATTGTTTCAAGATCTTCTGAAGCTACGTGTTTGGGAGACGGTTCGTCTTGCGGGTGGATCCGACTGCCCTGGCGCAGTCACTGAAGAATTATTCTCCCTCGGATCCAACTATTGCTCGATGGTTGATCTATAACTGGATGTTCGATTTCGAGATCGAGCGTATTGCAGGAACGCAAAATCGAGCAGATGGATTGAGTCGGATCGAGTGGGACTCCTCGAAAGATCAGGCAGAAGACTCGGTTCCTGTGGATGGGTTCTTGGAGACGGACGAACAACAACTAAGTATCAACGTTTGGGAATACAAACCTAATGCTTCGTCCCGACCTGGGAAGTCTATCTGGAGTTCGCCGAGTTGTTATCAAAAGCGTTCAGAACTTGGGACGAGAAAGTCCTTCATTGAGGAAGATCCTTGGGGTGAACGATTTGCTGAGCAGATGATTAGGTTGGCCTTGTCTGAGCCAGTACGACTGGCAGAAAAACCTCTTACGATTGAAGGAGGACATGAGCAGGGTGACGAAGTCCTCAAGATTTCTGGAGGAATGATATTTCTCGTTAATTCGTTGATACAGGAAAATCGCGGGAAGTTAATGTTGGAAGAAGGGGAAGGCGGTGAGATTAAAGAAGCCTTTCGTGAGGAGAAGGCAAAGGACTTTGTCATTCGACAGGGGCATCTTTTCAAGAAGTCTGACGATGGAATGCCTAAGAGAGTGGTGTGTGGGGTTCCTAGACAGTTGGATGTGGTTGCGGCTCTACATGATGGAGTGGCAAGTGGGCATCGGTCCGCACGAGTGACATTAAGATAGATCCAACATCTCTATTTTTGGATGGTATGGGTAAGATGGTGGTGGAATTCTGCAACTCGTGCGTCCCTTGTAAGAAACGTTCAAATCTCCATTATGCTGAGCCACTTAATCCACGATATGTGGTTGAGCCAGGGGCGGTTGTGCACCTCGACCTGGTCGTTATGCCACCCAGGATTAATGGGTATAGATACATTTTTTATGCAAGAGATCATCTTACCGGGTTTGTTGATGGACGTACGATCCGTGAGCAAACCGGGAAGATTTTGGCAGAATGTATCGAAGAGTTTTACCTTCGGTATCCATTTGTTCGGGAATTTGTGATGGATCGAGGCGGTGAATTTCGGGCAGAAGAGGTTCAGGCTCTCCTGAAAAGACTGGGAGTGAACTATAGTTATACTACTAGAGCACACCCCCAGGCTAATGCTCCGGTTGAACGTGGTCACGCCACCTTGACTAACTTGCTAGCAAAATGGTGTGTTGGCAAGCCGTCAACATTGTCCGTCTACCTTAGAGCTGCCATATTTGTTGAAAATATAACCGTAAAATGGACTACTGGGTATGCTCCTGTTACGTTATGGTTTGGAGGACATGCTACATTTCCGATAGAGAGTTTCCTGACCACATGGCAAAACCAGGATATGAAAGTCAGACTTTCTACAGAAGAGTTGCTGGACTTGAGGGCCAGACAAATAAAAGCTACTGAGAAAAGAGTTAAAGAGGCCGCTGCGTCAACCGCGGACAGCAGACGGACGGATAAAGTTAGATGGGATAAGCAACCCCGGGTTAGGAAGGAACCGTTGGAAGTTGGGGATATTGTCCTCCTCTATGACTCTTCTCTTGAAAAACAGTGGTCGAGGAAATTAGATAACCGATGGATGAGGCCATATCGTATTATTAAGAAAACGGAGCATGGAGCATATGAGATTGAGGAGATGGATGGAGCACGTGGGCGAGATTGGGTTTCAGGCTCACGCTTGAAAAAGTTTGTTTATAGGGACTAAATAATGCCTTACTTTTTTTAACAGACATTGATACCACTGGCTAATTTGATTTTATGATTAAGTATTTGTAAGATATATTTTTCATGTAATGGACAGACACATATGGACTTGTAATGAATTATTTGTTGACGTCATTTTTGTCATTATTCTTCGTTCTCGAGCGAGATAATTGAGGTGCATAATGATTTTTCAAAACCTGTAAAAATGATTCTCTGGGCATGCATCTCTTTTATTTCTTATGTTGAATGAGTTTTGCTTGTGAAGAATTGGTTTGAATCATTTGTGCAAAGTTATGACCTTATGTGTAAAATATGTATAAGATTTTGGAACATGTGACTCCCTGAACGATAAGTGTTCGTTCTATAGACACATGGTTTAATAAATATAATAAGTTTATATGTAATACCTAGTCTTTATTGTGTCTTGATATTCCTGAAAGATGTGTACCTTGTAGGTGATAGTGAGGCTCGTGCCGGAACTTGGTTCCTGGTCCATAACGAGATGATGTCATTTTCCTTGAAAAAGGGCGATGGCTACACTATCACCGAAAAGGAGGCCGGTGTCGTAATCCTGTTGAGACCTTGCCTATGGTGGGGAGCGATCGCTGCTTATCACAGGGATGGGGTTGGTCGTCTATCCTTGTGATATGCAGGGTCGCCGCGTCCTTATGATCCTCGTCTGACCAACTTGGACTATATGGATGGGGTTGTCTCGCCCTGTAGACGTGGCATTAACTGAGTTGCGATACTGGAATCGGAGGGAATGTGGTGAGGCTCGAATCTAAAGCGGGGTTTGATGTTAGGATGTTATCCTTTGCGGAGGATTACACCACTCCTCGACGCAGTCACATAGAATTCGGGGATACTAAGACAAAATAATCCTAGGTATTTGTAAAGTTGCACAGTCGGATGGGTCATGAAACTCGGGTAAAGGACTTAAGTAATGGGTTCTTGTATTGGATGGTTAGTTCAGATTCTGTCTGAACGATTATCATAGGTTGGGTTATGGAGACCTATCAGGGGTTATTCCTGGCTCATTCTCGAAATTAGCTGAAGGTCAATACGGGTCTTCTAGAAGGGATGGTGGAGAACCGGAGCCTTGCTATTGTTATCCCCGACAACCGTGACTGTAGTATAGTATGAGTATCCTTGTGTTACGTGGGAGGTCCAGGTTAAACTTCTGGCAAGACGTGAGTGTGTTGAAGTGTTGTGGATGCATCTCCATGGACATGAGAGACCCGGGTTAAATTCCCGGTAGTAATGGTTGCTTGCCCAGATGATTGAAATAATGATTTCCAACCGAATGAATTTTGTTAGCCAGAACCGTGAAAACTAAGTCCTTTGAATTTGGGCTTCCAGGGGCTGAATCTAGGCCTGAGTTTCGAATTTTGGGCTTCCAGGGGCTGAATCTGGTACCGATCCGATGAGTGCAGAATGATTGTGCATTTTGGCTTCGAGGGCATAACTCGTTTAATAGTAAGGAGTCCATTTTTTCGGATATCCGCTTGTTAAAGTATCTGTGATTTTATTAAGATTAAAAGATATTAAGAGAGGTATCTGTAAAATTTAATATTGAGAGCACCGATCACGTGAACGACGTGAAAGTCGTTCAATGCGGCCCGGGAATGCTGTCGGGGCAGAAACCCTGACAAGGGTATCCGCCCGTGTTTTTCAACGTCGGACGTTATCTGACCTTTTCACTAAATTGGAAGACTTGATGAGATTGACGTTGCCAAAGTTATTCAGACCAGCGCTATGACTGAGAGACTTAAACTTTTTTTGAACCTGACGTCGTCGACGCAGAACGACATCGACATCCGTGCAACGGGAGTCGGCACTGTCGTCCGCGGGTCTCGATGAGACCACAGTAGTGTGCAGTCGTGGAAAAACTAAAGTTAAAGCTTAGGCTACCTATGATGAGGTCGCGCGACTATTAAGCCGCTCGATTCAGGGCCTAAGTGGGCCAAAAAGGGGTCGTCGCGGCAAGATGGACCGCGGCGTGAAGGAATGGCTTAGGGACCATAGGGCAATTGCGCCGAGGACCGAGGTCGAAGGCATCGGGGCCGCCTAGGTAGGGTCGCCGTTAAGGCTGTCGGCTGTCGACCCCGCCTGCCAGCCACGGCAGCAAGCCAGCTTAGCGGGCACAGCCTGCTAAGCGCTGGGCAGGGGGCTACTGGGCACCAAAAGCCTACATATAGGAGGGCTGCTCCTTTTCTAATGTGAAAAGGAGCTAGCCCAGTCGGTATTGTCGCTCGATTACCACCCCGTAGATATGGGGATCGAACTTGACAAAGTGCACTACCGGGCTAGCTCCTTTTGGAGCAGCCCGCGACTTGACAAGGGGTGCGACCGATTTTCGGCCGTGCGATCTTCGAGATCGCGCGGCTGAAATCAGCCGTGCCGGGGTGAAATGACCCCTGTGTGAGGATGACACGCATAGGCCGAGAGATGGCCCGAATTTTTTTTTTTCTAAAAAAAAAAATAAAAAAAAATAAAAAACATTAAAAACTAAAGGCGCAGTCTTAGGCGCTGGGGCGTTTAGATCCCCCATGCATCGGGCAGTGTCCGTTCGAACGGGCAGCCGTTCTCAGAGGTGGGGTTCTGGGCGTCGCTCCACTACTCTCGACATGCACAAAAGACAAAAATCATGGCGGTGCATCTTTCCATATTCTGGTGGAGGATTCACCCTCGTTTTGCACGTTTCGAGAGTAGTGCAGCTAGGCCCTTTGGTCTCCTTTTTTTTTTTTTTCACTTCTTATTTTAGGTTTCTTTAGATTCTATTTTTTTATTTTTGTGATTTCGTTTGGATTCCCCTTTTGGTGTCTCTTGACTTAGGCACCCATTTGTTTCGGACGAACGGGGCACTAAAGAAAAGAAAAAATATATATATAAATCTACAGCGCCATGTGGCGCGTCCCGAAGTGACTGGGGCTTTTTAGCCCCAGTACACTAAACAGTCGCCCGTGAAAACGGGCGACCGTTTTTTGTTACGGTTTTCTGTTGTTTTTGTTTTTGCCTGGATTTTTTTTTATTCACATCTTAGATTTTGTTTAGATTTATTGTTTTTTTTATTCTTTTTTTTGTGAGTGCCCGTTCGTTTCGAACGAACGTTTCGAACGAACGGGCGATTCGGGAGTCTGGTTGTGCCAGACTGTTTCGTCGGACTCTCACGAGTCACGGACTCATCAGGAAGCTGAGCCTCGACAACAGACCAGCCAAATGAATCAGCCGGAGAAGGCGGCTGTATGCAGGCATGTCGGGGGAAGGTTTCTCAGAGAGAGAGAGAGAGAGAGAGAGAGAGAGAGAGAGAGAGAGAGAGAGAGGGAGAAAAAGAGAGAGAGAGAGAGAGAGAGAGAGAGAGAGAGAGAGAGAGAGAGAGAGAGAGAGACTGGCTTACCTGCGCCCGTTGAGTTAGGAACGGGCTGCAGCGTTTGCCTGCGCGCTTGAACCTGACGCTGAAAGCGTCCGGGTGCGGGCGCGAGGCAAAGGGGGAAAAAGAAGACCCTGTGGAGCTTGACTCTAGTTCAACTCTGTGAAATGACTTGGGAGGGGGATGTGCTCATTCGTGTTCAAACGACGAGCTGCCCCTGCCTTAGAAAAACAAAAAAGAAAACGAAAAGAAAAAAAAGGGGTAGAAATTGGAAAAAAAAAGAAGGGAAACTGCCGCGGATCTAGCCGCGGCCTCGGTCCAGATGCAAGTTTAGAAGCATCTGGACTATGGATAGGCAGCAGACTGTTGGTTTCAACAGTCTGCTTGAAAATGGCTGAGTACAGCCGTTTCTGGGCTGCGTCTGGCCGCGGGTGAAGGCCAGATGCACTGCCAAGGTTCAGAACTTGGTTCCCTTAGGGGAACATAAAGTTTCCTGACCCTTGATCGTGATTTTGATCCAGGGCCAGACTCTGTTCCGCGATTTGGCTGGGGGCAAAGCAACTGCCCTCAGCCTTCAGCCACCTATAAAAGCTAACCTGCCACCCAGCAGCCTCACACTTGTGGCAATGCTGCTGCGGCATTCTACTTGAGTAGATGCTGGCCGGCTGGCTGCCGGTGTGATGAGACGAAGTGCTGGAGGTCTGCAGAAGCACTTGGAGGAAAGAGGAGGCAACCATAGCTAAAGGCTAGGAGCTTTTTGCCCCACCTTCTGTGCTGTGCTGCAGGTTGTGGGGAAGCCGTGGCCTTGAGGTTGCTGCTGGTTTTCTGGGGAGGTGCGGCAGAAGCGCTGCCGAATTTTTGCGGCAACAGCACCTGTTTTCTTTCCGGAACAGCAAAAGCGCTGCAGAAATTGTGCGGCGGCAGCGCTGGTATTCTTGGCGGAACAGCAGAAGCGCTGCCGGAATTGTGCGGCGGGAGCGCTTGTATTCTTGGCGGAACAGCTGAAGCGCTGCCGAAATTGTGCGGCGACAGCGCTGGTATTCTTGGCGGTACAACGGAAGCGCTGCCGAATCCTTGTAGCGATAGCACCGATTTTCTTGGCGGTACGGCGAGGGTGCTGCTGGATTATGTGGAGATAGTATTTTGCACAGAATTACGAGAAGGGGGATTGGACCTTGCCGCAGGGACGGTACAGCCAAGGTGGAAGTGCACCTTGGAACAGAAAGGGTGTGACGATCGTCTTGTTGACGGCATTGCGGCTTGCGGCACTTGTAAGAATTGTTGAGGCCGTTGTTATTTTTTTGTGGCATACCGAGTAAGCGGTGACTGGGTCCGGGACCACCAAGTATTGCGGTAGGCAGGTGGTGGCCTGACTTGGTATTTGGTGGGTTGAATCGCCACTGTTTTGGTGGAAGGTGTGACGTTGAGGCTGTGGGATTTGAGAGCGGGGCACTCTCCTCAACGGCGAGCTCGCTTCTGTGTTGGTGAGCGGCGCCTGAGTCAGCGGCCGCGTTTGAAGGAGGGTGTGACTCGTCCTTGTGAGCCGCCACAACGAGAGTGGTGCGACCGAATTTTTGTGAAGATATTTGGCCTTTGTGAGCGAGCCTTCATAAGAATCACTCAAGGTCAGTGCGACTTAGTTCCTTTGCACACCCGCGTGAACCCACACATTGCACGACCTTGCTTTGAATTCAGGGGAAAAGGTAGAGTAAGAGTGTGATAACATGCGTGTGAAGAAAGGGCTGACCTGTTTGGGGATGGATGAATCTCTGGATTGTTTCTTTTCTTGATTGTGCAGGAAGGTTGGGAGATGCATGTGAGAAGGAATCTGCGTGGTTGACTCGAGATAATGATGGGCATGCTTACCTCTCGCCCACTCAACCTGAATGCATGCGACAGAAAAGAGGAGAAACAAAAATAATAATGGAAGTGCGAACGGATGGATGCCGAAAGAATGAAGGTCGTGGGAAAATTAAAAGAAAAGAAGACAAGGGAACACCTTAGTATCTTCCCAAGGATTTCCCCATTCTATCCCGAACGACCACTATCCTTCTATGCCCGTCCAAAATATCTTACTTCTTTCTCTTCTCAATTCGTCTAAGTCGACCATTAGCCGGGAAGGCATAGAGCGGTCGTCTGCACCTAGGGTCTAGGCTTCTTGTCTCTAGGAGGCATCTGGGGCGGGGGTTCGTTGCCTTAGGGGCCGGCCCTGTTATCGACTCGGAGCGGACTGCTTTTGTGGGGGGATACCATGTTGTTGCAGTGGAGTCAGCCCAACTTCTGAGTCCTGAACAATGTGTTCGGGCGAGGGGGGGGGGTATTCCAAACCACTTCCTAGAGGGTAGGGTGTCTTGAAGCTAGGGGCAGTCGCCTCCTCGGGGTTTCAGGGAAAGGGGAGGCTGAATCTAGTACCCGGCCGGGGGGCCGCTTTAGGAGCCACCAATGTGTGGGAGGGTTGTCGCCACAAGAAGCCGAGCCCATGATTCAACTAGTGTTAACGGGAGTGCAAATAGGCACTACTCTCGCGATCGGACTGTGACACAAGAATCACGGTCCGAAAAGGGGAATGAAGATTGAACATGAAAGTGGGTATGTCTGAATTATTTTGACAAGAGGTACCGCTTCGTCGTTCAGATGTTTGCGGAGACAGTGATTCTCCGATTGTTCAGCACACGCGAGGCGGCGGGTAATTGGTTAGCGGTGCCGACAGAATCCCGCGCCGACACGATACGGAAAGGAAGGCTGGTGTACAACCCACTTGAGGCTTACTCGGAACGGGATGCGCTGCGATTCTGGGACGGAAGCGTGAGGAAACCACCGCGGAGTTATGTTTTCTTGGTTGAGCTAAGCCAGCGTATTGTGCGATATGATTTTTTGCTTCCTAATCCATCACGAGATTATGGAGACATGAACCTAGTTGTGGTTCACGAGGACTGTTCGGGAGTAGAGAACATTCCAGAGGTTAGAGGGATGTTCCTCCACATTGTACTCCATTTGAACGATATGCAAGGTCCGTTCGGCCTCCTTCATCATGTGAGACGGGTCCGAGCGAATAGATTTAATATCATTCGCTCGGAACGTTTCGACGTCACCGCGTTTTATGACGAGGGTTGTGAAATTTATGAGTGCCTCTTCTAACAGGTGGCTTCGTTTGTGTGTAGATGCCTAGCGGACGGCGAGACTTCACTCAGGCCAGATATTTACTGATTCGCGACACTACGGACGAGGAGCTGATCCGGCGAGCGGAGCGATTATTACTGGTTCGGAATGGAGCGCCCACACGCTCGATTGGTTTTATCGGCGTGCTCATCGATGAGCAGGGATTCTTTTCTAGCTCGCACGCGGATGTTCGCGCCAATGTGGCCCGACTTCCGGAGGAAGTTCATGGATGTACCTTGTACTTCCATCGCGCGAGCAACCTCCAATGCCTCTCTCGGGTTATTGTGAGCGTCAAAATTACCCTATCCGGGGAGCGCTATGGCGTCGTCCGGATAAAGGACACCACGACCACACACCTGTTTCGGATGCGTCAGCCGTTCCGCGCCATAGTCTGGAAGCTCGCCTCACGAATGACTTCTCTCTATGATACGCGGAAGGTCCGAGTCGTGCGAGGTGGACGTGTTTCCACCTTGATTTTTGACGACGAGGAGCTTACACGACTCGACCGGATAGAAGCCGAAGCCCGTGAGGGCCGACAGGTTTACCCTGGCTGAACGCACCCTCTCGAGTCAGGTGCAGTGGTAAGTTGTTCTTTTGTAGGGTCACATCTACGTGACTCTATCATGCTTATGCATTCAGGGGTAATCGATCGCTGAAAAATGAGCCGAGCAAAATGAAAACCGAACACTTGAGAAGGTGTTGAGCAAAAGGGCGAGGGCGAAGTATCAGGAAATGAATCATCTCCATGCCAAGTATCTGGTGTTGGGGATGGGTACTTCGTCATTCGTGGAATGGAGAGAGTAATTATTGCCTAGGAGGACAAATCGACTGACAGAATTGTCAGTCACTCCTCCGAGTAGATGTATGCGGTACGACAATATGGTCGAACAGGGAGTTCAAACATCGACCAGGAGCCAGATCACTTGTTGATCTGCATGGTACCGGCGATATTTACTTGTAAAAGTTGTGCGCGACGGATCTTTCGTCTTCGGACGGCAGTACAATTGTCCGTTCGATTATGTAGGTAGGAAATGATAACCTTGGCAGACCATCTCAACAAGTTGAAATGTTGTTTATGTATTGGTTTTATTCATTTTATGAGTAGGGGATTATAAAGGGACTAGGATTATATGTTGGGTTTCACATTTGGTCGAGGTCGTCCTAGTCGACCGACGCTCGTTCGTACCGAGGAGATCAGCGCCCTCGGGAACGGACAACGCTCGGGTCCACTTGGCATTAACCAAGCGTACCTATACTCCAGCGAGCGAGCAAACGCCCTCGGCTGACCTACCTCTGCAATTGCATGTAAAAGCTTTCGCACGTGGGTTAGTAGCTCGGTAGGGATACGCCCCTGAGGGTGGTGACAGCCCCTTAGGGAAGGTAGGCTGTGCCCCGCGAAAACCTATCATGTCGTAGGGGATTGCAGGATGTATAGCTGGCGCACTCTGCTAGAGCGGCGAAGGGACAATGCAACCGCATCCGTTTCGGCGGTTCGCGGGATTATTTCTACATCGTCCTAAGTTGTCTCTTGATTTTGTTTTGTTCTAACTCTTGCGTGACATAGCTGGGAGGGCCCTTGCTCACGCGGGGGCCGATGCGCTCGACACCGATCCCCCTCCCCGATCTTTTTCGCACCTCCCCCGATCCTGATCCAATATGATCCGCGTCCGTTGATCCCGATCTCCCCTTTCCAAAGTTCATCCCCCTGAGATCGCCACCCCTTGCGCCCCCCTCGAGCGGATTCCTACATCCTCCCCCCCCCCCCCCCCCCCCCCCCCTGATTCCCAAGTCATTTTAAGGGTACGGGCGATACGAACCCATGACACTAGGAACACATTGAACCCAGACGTGTATATATTAGCCGACACACTCCTACACAAAAGGCAGCGGACGTCTCTAACCCACGTGTGAGCACTGATTTGTCACACCCGTTCACAAAAGAAAGCATGACAATCTTAAAAAACGAGGCAAGAAAAGGAAATGGGCAGCCATGGACAATCTGGTATCAGGGTGCCATTGGTCACCACTTGACTGATTGGCGGCCCCGGCGCGAGAATGGGAGGATGGAGGAGGGGACCATGGCAGAAGCCTCCTCCTCCCAACCCCCTCTCACAAATCGTACAGATGGTTGACTATCTCCATCACAATCCCCCCTCTCTCCGACAGAGTTGTTAAGGGTAATGAAGGACATACAGAAAAGGAAAGAAGTCCAAAACAGTCAATCCCAGGGGTCTACGTGGGCTGACAAGCTCAAGAAAATGTACACAGGTCAAACCTTGTCAGTTAAAAGAGATGGAGAGGAGGAAGGAAACCTGGAAATCCCACTGGGCAATCTGACCACAACATCAACTTTCTTCCTCACAAAATTCTTAGCTAATCCGGAAGATAAGATAATCAGCCAAAAGGGAGAAAAACACAGGGTAAAAGCCTTCCCAAGTGACGTGATCAAAGAAAGGACCACAATCCACACCCGTCATGCGAGTACATGGGTCTTCTACGACGATGCCGCCATGTATGAGTATAAGGATGATATAAGGATTATATATGCGTAATGTCAATGAGTGTGTAGGAGACAGGGCTTTAGGATTTCATCATTTAGGACAGGATCTCTGCCAGCAGTGTCAGGGAAAGGGCAGGGTGGGAACGGGTCTGGAAAATCCGAGGGAGATTGAAGTGGGAATGAGGGTTCTATGTTTGTTTAGTCCTTAAAACTTAGACAGTAGTCTCTCATCTCCTCCAAATCCCGCTGCCCCTCTCCCCTGTCTCCACTCCATCCACTCTTGCAATCCATCCTTTTCTCTCCCCTCTCACCCAGTCTGTGCAAAATGTTGTGATCCGTCTCCCAACATCTCCTATTTGTTTAAAGAGATCTAACTGTGTTTTTGTGTCTAACCATCTTTGTGTGAGTTCAAAATGCACCTGCTGCTGAATCTGTTCGGTGATCTTTGGCTCTTCTACTCTCACATTTTCCATGGCCAGAGTGCATCTCTGCCACCAGAGTGTCCATATCACCGCTCTCCTTCCAAGTCTGTATATATTCTCTATGAAGGTCGTAGCTGCTTCTGCCTGTGGCCAATGGCCGGCCAATATGGCTTGCCAAGACCAGGGTCAGGGGATTGCAGTTTGCAGATTTCATTTTTCTCCATATGTGGTCTCACCATCTCCATA